AATGTTGTGCGACCCGCCCTATCATATAAGAGTATGTGTAAACCTTTTACACTCAAAATATCCCCGATTCGCATTTAACGGTCACCGCATACGAGGCTCGCCTGTCTTAGACACCATCACGTTCTGAGGAACATTCTCATCACACATGGTAATGGTAACATCCTGCACATAAAACAAACGAAAATGGGAGTAGCGGTATACGCCGAGCGGAAGCCATACTCCACACGAGGGTCTAAGATCGAGCGTTAATACGAACGCATGAGAACCGCTCTATGGGCAGCCTTCAATTGCCGCGCCTGTGCCTCGTCGAGACGATTAGTAACAATACTACCTCCCCCGGAACCCGAGAGATCGAGAAATGGATACGATGCCAGCAAGGTTTGAGCTAGGCTCACGTCGCGCCGTTGGCGCACTTCATCCCTCGTCTTTATATGCTAAAAAAAGTAACCAAATGTCGCAATCTCCGACAGCAGAGGCCTTGACGATATTTAGTGACCGTAAGTCGCGAGCAGAAGACTAGGCCCTGGGCATAAGAAAGATACTGTATCTCACTCACGATGTGGTGATATTACTGTATGTGAAGTACCGTGTGATAATTCCACCGTGCAACGTCACTCGGCGTCGTCCAGTGTCGCCACTCCCTGCTCCATCGGAGTCTTCATATTATTGACAACATCCGACGAAGAGCTGCTATTTTCATACTGTTCGTCCAAAAGATAACGTGCCACTCCACGCGTCTAACGAGTTTAAACGTACCCTTGTATGAAAGAGCGGGTCGCACAAGATGGTGCGACCGGACATAGGTGTGGATTACACAGGTTAGTGCAATCAAACAATGGCGTGACTACACCGTAACAAAAAGCCACCATGTGGCAGGATTGCCAGTAGTAATGCATATTACTTCATTGATTAAGTTGTACTAAATTAATTAGGTATTTATTTATTAATAAAAAAACTAAGGTTTCAGATATTGGCGGCTCTGCCGCAACTAAAACAATTTGATACGGTTTCAATTTTGAACGGAAGAGAATCTATACCTTGTTCAAGGGTTTGGGTACTCCGGAGGTAGCGTCGTAGAGATTCTTGAAAAGAACGTAAGCTCCCTCTAAGTAAAGGTCAACAGCAGCTCCGCTGCACTTGGTTGCACTCGTCGACAATCTACGCTTGAGTCGTTACGACTGATCCTCTGGCATGCAGGATGGGCATATAA